ATCCTGTTGTTGGTTCCTCTGGTAGCCAGCCCCATACTGAGGCTATCGAGGAGCCTCCAGCTACCCATCATCTCAGTAACATACAAAAAAGACACTTCATTTCAGAGAATCCAATGGTTTTAGAAGCTGTGCTAGGAAACCAAAGCAAAGGCAGAATACATATTTCTTTTTTATGTCATAGGTGGGCAGAGACCAGATTGTGCAGTTTTCTAGTTTTAAATGCTTGTTCCTTCATTTCAGATTGTCTGGGGTGGGATCCCAGCACTGCCACTTGCTAGATTTGAACCTTAAGCAAATTCTTTAATCTTTCTTTGCCTCAATTTATTCATTTGTGAGTTGAAGATAATATTATCTGCCTAATAGAGGTTGTTAAGATGAAATGAATAATAAGATATTATGAATAAATAAATATTTATTATTATTTGCACTATATTATTTTTATGTATTATATTTATGGTATAACTTTATGGTTTAATACTATTGTTTGTCATTTTGTTTTGTTTCTTATGGAAGCCTGAGTAGACTACTCGAGGGGAGTATGTTAGAAGGAGAAAGGGACAAGATGACTGAATGTATATGCATGGAAGTGAATAAAATGTGGGCTTGAAATGTAACCTAGATAAGGAGGAAAGTGAGCACAGTGGTAGGGGTGAGTGACGATTAGAAAATATTAAATAAGATCAATGGATTGGAAGTGCCAGTGCAGTTGAAGCTTTAACTGGAAAGACAGGACAGTAGGAGAGTAGGATAGTTGACACTGAGATTATGGAGGTGATGCTGTTACTGGTAATGACAGGGTCTAGGGGTATGACTGTAAACAGAAGACAAATGTATGGAAGGCAAGGAGCGAGAGAACTGAGAAATCAGGACATTGAATGGATTGTCTGTGTGGATATTAGAATCACTGAGAATAATTACTGGAGGAGTGGTGGGAAGAAAGGCAGAAATTTAAAAGGCAAAATATTCAAGAAATGTATACAGATATATGTCCATAAATTTGACTGATACTTAGAAGCAAACTCTACAGGAATTGGCCATAGATTAAAATGAGTTGGAGGAAGGATAGGGGGAGGGAGCCTTTAAAGACAATTCAATGGTCCCTGAATCGAGTCATGGGAAGAATTCATGGTATCATTGCTAAGCTAGAGAAGGCTGGGAGAAGATTAGGAGATTGATCTTGGATATAATGAATTTTAAGTGATCTTGATATATTCAAGAGATACTGAGTAGGTGGGAAGATATATTGGTCTGGTGCTCAGAGAAGAATTCATCCTGAAACTAGAAATCTGTGAAGTATTTCAAGACGGGTGATGGCTGAATTCGTGAGTGATGGCATTGCCTAGCAGAAGTGGAAAGTGGAGAGAAGCCTCCTTGTGTAACTTCAATATTTACTGAGCAGACTCAGTTCGAGCCTTCAGGGGAAACTGATTAGTGAGTGGAAAGAGAGAAATAGGAAAACTAGGAGAGTATGAAGTCATAGAAGCCAAGAGAAGAGTCTTATAAAAAGGAAGATGAAGTGCCTTCTTAGCGCAGCAGGCAGCCGCGTCAGTCTCATAAAAAGGAAGATGTAGCCAATAATGTTAAAAGCTAACGAGAGGCCAGGATGCTGAGCGAATGTGGTATGCTTGGATTCAGTGGCATTGAGGCCATAGGTGACCTTCATAAGAGCTTTTCAGTGGACTAATGAGGTGGGAAAAGAAATTAGAGGTTGATGACCGTGGCAGAGGTGAGGAAAAGGAGAAAGAAGAAAGCAGGATAGACCACATTTTTAAGAATTTTGGCTATTAAAAAGGGAAGGAAAAAAGTATGGCAGCTGGAGGGATTGGGGGATTGAGGATGGAGATTATTTATATATTAATATTCTATTTATATTTTTTAATGGCAGAAATTTGAGCCTATTGGGAGATTTTAATATGCATTTAACATATTTGTGTGAAAAGTTTGATAAGTGATAGCAGAAGGGTAGGAGGGGCTGAAATCCAAATTGAAGGTGGTGTGACAGATTTTTAGGAGGACCAGCACCGTCTCCCATGTAACAGAAAGAAGAGTGAGCCAGACTGTCTCAGGACTTAGGTGTAGGCATCATACTGTGTTCTATCTTCTTTTTTTCTGGGCGATCTAGTCCTTTTTTACAAGAAAGCATTGCAAGGATGGGTGCATTGGGCTTTGGGCTCTCAAAGCAGTAGAGAAGAACCCAGAAGACCAGCTCTCCCTTGTGCTGTGGGCAGGTTTGTGAGGTGTGAGAGAGGAAACAGCTACCACTGGAGCAGATTGTGGAAGAAGCAACCTTGCAAGGTTTCAGCGAAGGAATGGGGTGACACTCAGAAAAGACATGAAAATGTAAGGGAGTTTGATGTCCCTGAGGGCCACAGGGGAAGTTTTGGATGGGTTATGACGACTGAGGAAAGGTTTGCTGATATTGACAAGAAGATCATCTTCAACCTGAGATCAAGCAGTTTCAGAAGCAGTTTACCAGAATTGTGGAGGTCACTGCAGAAGATTAGAAAGTGGAAGGCTGACCCTTTGGTTGTAAGAGAAAAGAGGAAGATGGAATTCAAGTCTGTTTGTTTTTATTGTTTTTTTTTTTTATAATCCAGCTAATTACCTATGAGATATTACTTCCATCTTGTTTCTTAACATGCATGAATGAACTCCTGTCAGAATGACTTCCTTCTGTAGCACTTTCTAAAATCCTTTCTTCTTTGAGAGCATTCTTTTTCCTTTGCCCAAACTACCCTCTAAATCCTTTTTCTACCTATATGAATACAGCTCTTCTGGTAAGACCCATTAACATCTACTTCTCCAATTCCTCTCTCTTTTACAATATTTTTTTCACTATAAAATAATTCATGTTTATTGTGAAGCCATTTGGAAAATATATGAAATTATAAATTAAAAATAAAATAATCCATATACTACCTTCCCTTAGATATATCATACTGTGCATATTATTAACGTTATCACTTTACAAATTAAAATTATAAAGTACTTTCTGTTTCACTTAAATAGTTATACTACCAAACTTTTAATGATTGTCTAATATTCCATTGTATACATGTATCATAATTTATTAACCATTCTGCTAATATTAGCTAATTAGGTAATTGCTGTTTTTCCCATTATAAATAAAACATTATTTTGAAAATAATTGATTGTGTACATAGTTAATAACCCTTTTAGGGCAAAAATTTTTTAAATATATTAGTAATGCTGAAGATATAAATGTTTTTTAAAGGCTCTGGATAGAGGTATTTTCCAGAAGGCTATGATATTGATAAATTATCCTTCTATAAGCACCATATTACTATGTAAGGTATCACTCAATTGTCAGCATACAATATTTTTAAAAACTAATTTCCTGGGAGGAAAAATGGCTTCTCATTGGGATTTTCAGCTGTGTTTATTTGATCACAAATTAAGTTGAATATTTTTTCTTATAGTTATTAGTCACTGGATGTTTGCTTCTTTGTATTATTTAGTCATGCTCTTTATCCATGAAACATAATATAATCATCGAATTATAAAAGATGTTTAATATTGTTAATCTAATCATAAAAGTTCTTTACATGCTAATTATATTGCCTTAAATTCTGTATTTATTATTTTCATCCTAATTATTGTTTTCCCAGTGAACTATGCTGACTCTATCATAATCTTTACTAAATTCTTCTTTTTTAGAAGTCCTATAGTACTCCATAGTCTCAGTATATATATAATATTAATATTTTAGTCTTTATTGTCCTGTGTTGTTCACTAATAATTTCGTTCGTATTAATCTTGTATTGCCAGATAGATATTAAGGTCCTTAAGAACAAGAATAGGGAATATGTTTATCACCATTCCTGGATTTCTAATTGGTGTTGTGTTATTAGACTTCTAATTTGCTTCTGAGATTATCATTGTATCTACTCACCAAAATATATAGCAAATTAACTCATCATGTGTTAATGGCCATAATATTTTGGAAAGATGTATGTATGTTTAAAGACCTAGAGAATAGATGAGTTCTCTCAATATCTTTTTGCTTGCTGTGCAAGGTTTAAAAACAGTACCTCAGGGGTATATTAAAGTTATTTCAAAAGTTTTAGGATTGTGTATTAAAGAAACATTCTCTTTTGAACATGTTACTTGAACCATAGTTAAGTGAAAGGTGGTGTAAAGCATGTGATAAATGATTATTTTTCACGTCAAACAACCCAATTTTTCTGAGCATGCTGGCTTTGCAAGGATTTATAGTTCTCTGTCTTCATGCCGGAGTTACTTCAGCTTTCCGTGATGCATTCCAACTAATCTGGAGGTTAAGGCATTTCTTGATCATGAATAGATCCGATCGCTACTCAGCCCTGGAATTCTTTATAAAATTCCAAAACGTGGGCTAGGAATTGACTTAGTGAATCCAATAAAGTTGCAAGTCTTGGCGGTCATCCAAGCTAAATTTATAGACTGGAAGAAATATGGGCTTTCCATTGTTCTCTTTTTCACCTTTCTGGGGTTTCTTTTGTGTGTACGTGAGTGTGTGAGTGTAAATTTATCATTTTGCTGACACTGGAGTGGAAATGACCATTGAAGGGATCCAGCTAAAGAATTTTCACTTTGGATCTTCCCTGGTCTTTCCGAACTTTGACCCAAACCTGCACCAAGAGTAAATTCCTTCTTCCTCATAGGATGCTGATGTCATAAAACAAGAAGCTGTTCTTGAAAATGAATCATGTTAGTTTAACAGCTGACGTGCGTGCTGGCCCGCTAGGTACAACTCCCAAATCTCTGTTCTTCCCCTGACTCTGTGGGAGCCTTCTTTTTGAGACAAGATCTGAGACAATGTGATCTTATATATTGTTTCTGTTCATTCTGTGACTGGTAATGGAGGCACAATGACAAGCTCAGAAGAGTCTAAGAGACTTCAGTTTTTTGTGTGTGTATGCCTGATGCTCTGTAATGTGTGGCGATCCAAGTGATCCCTCCTTACATCTGACCACTGAAAACCTGTCTTGTTCTTACAGAATGGGTTTGCTGTTGTGAGGCCCCCTGGCCATCACGCTGAAGAATCCACAGCCATGTAAGTACCAGGGACTGTTGCCCATCTCCAAACGCCACGGTTCCTGGCGGTCACCTGCCCCGTGCATGTTTCTGAAGCCTCTAATTGTTAGCAGATGGACTGAAAACTCTTGCAAGGTACTCCCAGAAGCAGATTTATGGCTTCAGAGATCATATAGCATTTTAAAAAATGCTCTGAACATTATTTATAATGGTTTTCCTGGATGATTTGCTTTCTTATTTCTCTGTTCTTCTCTATTCCGCAGGGGGTTCTGCTTTTTTAATTCAGTTGCAATTACCGCCAAATACTTGAGAGACCAACTAAATATAAGCAAGATATTGATTGTAGATCTGGTATGTATTCCTGGCCAGAGCTGCATTTCAGTGACTCTAGATAAAAGGGAGTGGATTTGTGTTTCTCTGTTAGGTTGTCTTGTTTTTAGCACTTGCAAACAACTGAAGGGTGTGTTTCCTTTGAATGTGGAAACTCATTAAATTCAGGATTGCAGTTCTGAAACCATAAACATTCACGTTTCACTTTCATGGTGTTAACTGCAATTTAATGAGAAGAAGGCGCAGATCAGGGCAACTTTTATGATCCTTAAATGAATTGATACTTCCACAGTTAAAATAACCCAACAGAACCTGAATTTACTTTTCCCTACAGAATATAGACTACATAGTCAGATGTGCTGGAAAGAATGCTGTTGCTTTGGTAACCAATTGGCCACTTCCCCTGGTTAGCAATCATGTTGCTTGTTGTGCAACAGTGGTATTATTAAAACAAGTCAGCATGTCATTCTTACTGAAAAGATCTCAGACCTCAGATGCCAGTTTGGGATGACTCCTGCAGGAACCCTGAGTGATTAAAAGTCAGAGCATTAGATTAGTCCTGCATTTTAACATGATGCATTCTTACACAATAGAGTTATAATTTGTTTAACAAATGGTTTGTTTAAAAGCAGATGACACTTGGCATGTTGTCTATAGTATACTCATGAATAATGAGCTGGAGATCTGCCCCATACAAAAAGGACCAACCCAGGAAAGGGCGAAAGAGAGCTGAATGGTGATTTATGAGCCCCGTTTTCAGTTTGCCTCCAGTTCACAAGGAGGTGTAATAGGTTGTCTGACAAAGCATAGACAGGAAATGAACCCTGGCATCCAAACCGAACCTGCTACATCTGCACTTAATTAATTTTTGCAGGTGATAAAAGATTTAAAGGCAAAATATGTTAAAGGTTTTTTTGAAGTTCAAGGCTTAATAGTCTAAATCTTGTTCATATCTGCATTCATAATTAAATCTTATTGGAAGTCGTGGCCTCCCCCTCCAGCCCTTGGATTCAGTTAAGCAGGCACACCAAAGGGTTGAGAGAGCACAAGCAAAGCCATGTGAAGAAATACTTAGTTAAGTTAAAATGAAGATAAAAGGGATGGCAGGCTGATACCCATGTGCAGTGCTTGGTTGGGATGGATGTTTTTCACACACTGCATTGTAAACTTTCTGTAAGCACTTTGGTGTGAAGAATGTTGAAACGCAACTAGCCATGCACTTTCCAAACATGCTTAAATTCCAACGTATGTCATAGTTTACCGCTGAAGAAATGTTTTGAAGGCCTATATACACTACAGCAGCAACATTTTACAATTTCACAGAAATGTGGACATCAGTACCTATTTTTCCATGTACAAACAATATGACATTTTAAGTAATTAATTATTACTGTTTTGCATAATTTATAAGATAGTACAGTTTTAAAAATGTAATATGCTTCTAGGTCTGTAAGTTCTATGCTAGAAAGATAGGGCAAAAACTTGAAGAAAGAATAGCAGATGAAGACGAAAGATTGTGGGGGGAGGAGTTTCTAAATTTGTCAAAACTATATGGGAAGGGCAATGGTCCATTGATCAACTGGTTGTCCTATCCTTAAGAATATTTTAGTATTTACTTTCTGTGGGATGTGCTCTGCTACTATTTTGTGATTTTGTGAAGATAATAAAAAAAAAAAAAGTTGAGTCGCCTTTGAAAGTACATTTGTGATGTCCAAACTCGAAAGTAGTGAATTGTACAATAGACTTAAAAGCTACATTAATACAGTAGAGAAATAAAAAATAGCCTGCTGGAGAAAATTTGAGACAATTTTTAAAATAAGTTACTTGGTAGCTCAAAGGAGTTTCCTGTAAGCTTACTGGCCTTTGATTATGACTTTGCTCCATTATCCAATCATAAAGGATATTGATTTCCCAACAGGCTGTCATACACGAGAGGTTTTTGTTTCAAATTCTCTAAATATATGAAGTTCTGTCCAAAGGGTTGCCTCTGAGATCACCACCAGCCCACATATCCTTACTTTCAATTCATCCAAATTCTGCAGCTGCAAGGCTACTTTGAGGAAATTCCTGTTTCTTCCAGCTGTGGAGAAGGAAGTTTTAAAGTGCCACGTGGCCCTGAGACATCCGTTCTCCCTAGCTGACAGGTCTATTCTGCAAGTTAGCAAAAGGAGAAGAGGAGAAGGTGCTTCAATGGCGAAAGAGTTTCTTTCATTTCTGCATATTTCAAGTCATTAACAGCAACTGATGGGTGTGAATTAGTCCCACACTTTCTAGGGCCAATAGATGACAAAACTACTCCATTGTCTAGCAGCTAGTTTCAGCATTTTTATATGCCTAGTAAATACAGAGCCAGAGTTCTAATTCACCTTCTATTGTAAGTCTTAGGCAAATTCATAGGTGTTGAGTCTTTTATGCAGGAATGATGCTAGTTGATCTGTGGAGTGCATTCATTCCATGCTCTTTCTGAGGAAGATTCCAAACACATTCAGATTGGAGTGGAGAGGGAGCAGGTGTACCTGTTGTTCAACTTGCAAGAGACTGGCTTATGTGTTTAGAGCAATAACTTGTCCTAGAAATAGCATTTGCCTGCATGGTTCCTGTAGCTTTTAGATAATGTGACTTTTAGTTTGAAAATAATACGTTTAGGCTCTGTTTATGAAAGAAATTTTAATTCCAATGTCCTTGGATTTGGAGAATTTCATTGTTGATCAAGCACATTCAAACCTTTGTCATAAGTCCCTATACTAAATAGTGAGGAGTAATAACATTAACTGGTAGAATATATGATTTATTCAAAGCTATTTTAACATAATAATGAAAATATATTGGTTCTAAGTCCTTGTACAGAATCAATTTTCACAGTATACCTTTTAACCAGTAAAATATTGAAATGATTTTTTTTTAGCATTTCTGAGCATATTTTAGATACAAAGTCTATTTGGGGGATTTTAATGATACATTTTATTTCATTTCTATAGTAATTTCTTACAATCACCAATAATTTTCTTATTTTAGTCTAGCATATATTTGTTACTATGAATAAATAAACCTCAGATCATATATAAGCAGTCAGTATTTTGTGTGAATATTTTGCAGCAAAGAAAACTGAAACAAAACAAAATATATTCTCAAGGCTATATTGTAAGTTGTTGCCCAAAAAGAAAAAAACAGACTTGGATTTAACCATCATCTCTGTACACTAGTTGAATATGAATTTAGAATCAAGAATTGCCTGCGCATTAGAATGGATTTGTGTATTTTGATGAATAATATCTGTTGAAAATCTTATACTGTGGACAAGACTGTATTCATTATTCAAAAAATGAATGCACTAACAAACACCAAACACACTCTGCAAGAACAAATAATTTTATATCTGAGAGAAATTACCATCTTATATTTGACTTCCTAAAATAAACCTTTACAGTGTCCCTAGAGAAACAAAAGTAATCAAGGCAATGTTTTTCAGCTTTTCAAATTCTAGATACATTTATGCCCAGAGCAAACTGTGTCTTACAACCCTAACTAAAATTGCTGTTGTATAGGAAAAATGCAAACATTCCTTTGCGGTTGTTTTTCAAAATGTTTTATTTGTCCATTCTCTAGATATTCAGTAACAAGCCAAAAGATGTTGTGACTTAAATTCTTTCATTTTTGCTTACACAAGGGAAAATAGTTTTGCTATCTCTTCCTTCCTTTCCTTTGAATATTCAGAAGTCCAGGAATTAAAACAAAATATTATTTTGTCCTGGTGTGTATGTCTCTATAGAAAGCTGGAACAGCTTTCTATATGGTGCATATCTGCTGCAACATTATGATTCTTTGATTAATTTTGGATATGTACTATTCAAATATGTACTATTGGATATTGTACTATTCAAAAGGAAGAGAGGATTACTGTATGTCTACACCATGGAAGCAAGCTCAGTGTAGGTTTTCAGAACCAAAAGGAGGCTTTGGTGGTATCTGCTGAAGGATTACTAGGCTGTAGGTAACAACCTCACCTCACAGGTTTGTGAAGAGTAGCAAAGAATGAATGTAAGTTCAAGTTAACTGTGTAATGGCCAAGAGTCTGGCCTTTAGAGCAGGAAGAAATGGAATCAACACTCAATCTTACTAGTTTACTCTCTGTATAGTTTTAGAAAATTACTGAAACACTCTAAGCCTCAGTTTACTTATATTTTAAATTAGTGGTAACATCACATATCACATATAATTTTTAAATAATTCACACAAGGTATTTATGTAGTATCTGACAGAAATTGTGGGAATTGTTGTTGCAAATAGATTTTTACTGATATAAAATAAAGTACAATAGACAAATATAGTTACAATTTGCCAAAAGTTTTTAATAACAGAGCCAGAAGCTATATATAAGTTAAAGAACAAAAACAGTTATACAATAATATTCTATTGGACACAAAGAATATTCCATTGATTACCAATTCTAAAGATTATCATCTTTTAAGAACGGTTATTTTACTCTTATGCAGAAGATATTAGGAAGCATATTAAATTAGGTTAACACCTGATGTCTTTCAGTGAAGACATTTAAAAGGATGCTATTAGTTTTATTTTTCCCACTATGTTAATTCTATATATCTATATCATAAACAGTAAGAAAAAAGAATTGTTAAATTTTGAATCATTATCATATGCAAATGTCTTAAGAATTTTTCATTCATTTTAATGACACAAGCTTTTTTTCTTTTTTTTTTCTTTTCCTTTTTGAGTGGGAATGGGGGTGTTGTGATGGTGTGGGGAAAGGAAAATACAGCAGGAAGGAGGCTGGGAACAGAGCTGCGATGTAATATTGAAATTAGGCAGATTGCACAAGATTGCATAAAGCCCCATGCCATCTTTCTGCTTTGGCCCAAATGATTTCAGAGCTAATGAACTCATGCTCCTGTGTCTTCGACTCGTGTTGCGATTTTACCACAATGAAGTATGAAGCCCTTTTTGCATCTGGCATCTCTTTTGAAGTGATCCTAACTGCTGAGGGATTGCTAACTGAACTGAATGCTTCAAGAAAGCCAATTTACTCAGCTGGTTGCAAAGCCTTTGACCTTAATGGTGGGACTTGGCAAATCAATGCATACACGTATGTTTAGTGTTCTGTCAAGAATTGTGAAAATGCTCTGTAAGCCATAGATCCTTCTGTAAAATACTAGTTTGTAGTTTAAACATTAGTCTTTTTTTCAGAGGCCAATGAGGCTAGTTAATTAAGCCTGAGGGGTTATGAACTGTTGGCAGTTAATAAGTCATAAAATTCCTCCATAAAACAGGATGCGAGATTCCATCACTGAAGCAAAGAGTACAAAGAGCCGGTGTATAAATATCTAATTGTACCAAAGGACTGGGCTTTCTCAATGACTGCTCATCTGGAGTCTCCAGGGCATGCTCGCTGTGGTTTCCTGATTTTTAGAAGCCAGTTTAAAAAATGAGTGCATTAAAGGGTAATTTGCCTGAAAGTTCAGGAAGTAAAGGGGGTGGTGTGGAAGCAGGCAGAATGGGAGAAAGAAAAAAGGGGGACGTCGTGAGAAGACAGAAAATGAGAAGGAGGGTGGGGTAGAAAGACAGGGAAGTAGAAATCAGAAAGGTTGTCTCCACACAGAGTTAGACATGACAGTATTTGTCATCTGTTTTCTTTTCCTTGTAGGATGTTCACCATGGAAACGGTACCCAGCAGGCCTTTTATGCTGACCCCAGCATCCTGTATATTTCACTCCATCGCTATGATGAAGGGAACTTTTTCCCTGGCAGTGGAGCCCCAAATGAGGTTCGGTTTATTTCTTTAGAGCCCCACTTTTATTTGTATCTTTCAGGTAATTGCATTGCATGATTACCCCTAATTTTCTTGTCCTTTGCTGGTGTTTTAAATTACACGAGATTACTGAATTGTCCCACGGGACCAAGAACCAGTGCAGAACAAGTGCATAACCCAGAGCACTGGTTGTCAAGCAAGGTTGGGCTGATTTGACGTGTTGTTTGATGTTTATTTCAAGAGCTCCCATGTGTTTGTTTTCCTCTCTTCTTGCTTTTTTCCAGTTGCCCTCCTCTCTACCCACTGTGGTGTATTTTTCTCTTTCCAGGTTGGAACAGGCCTTGGAGAAGGATACAATATAAATATTGCCTGGACAGGTGGCCTTGACCCCCCCATGGGAGATGTTGAATACCTGGAAGCATTCAGGTTGGTATTTTTTTCCCTCCGAAAGTGGAAAACAAATATGTGTTGAAATAACACCAAATGTGAAAGAGGAATATAAATTTCTAACTAAAATAAAGTATTGCTACAAAGCCACTTAGGAGTATGTGTAAGGAAAAAGGTATATCAAGACCTAGTTTTAGTTATAAAGGTATATTCACCAACAGCCCAGATATTTTCCCCCTTCCTGCCCAACAAGAGAAAAAAAAATAGATTTTATTATTCAATAGTTCTGTCTGGAAAAATCTGCCTATTGTAACATGTGACATGATTTACAATAAACATTAGCATATTAAATGCTCTGAGAAGTCCTTCACTACTTGTTGAATTTTGTTGATCAGGCATTTACTAAACTTCATTGGACCACAGACTCCCTTTTTTATGTAACACCATTTGACATTCCTAGTTATAAGGAGCTAGTTCACTTTAAGAATGTTGGCCTATGCTATCTTATTCGATGGTAGAATAAATGACTTTTGTGTATTTTCCTATTCACATTACAACCTTGGCTAATTTATTGGTTGTTTTCAGTTTCTCTACAAAACATAAGAATAAATTAAATATGTTCACATTGCATTCTGCTTCTTGTTTTCAAAGGAGAGAACTTTAAAAATTAAATAAGAAACACAGCAAATTAAATGTTATTATTTTTTTGAGATAGAGTTTTAAAAATGGGCATTTCTTCTCTGGAATTAAAGGTCTCTGTTTTAAAGAAAAATATCAGATTGTGTTAATATGTCCCTCCCTTGCCAGATTTTAGGAAAAGGTTGTAACCTAGGAAAAGGTTGTAACCAAGGTTGTAACCATTGTAACCTATGTAGCAAAATATAAATTCTTGGATGTTTTATTTAGTTGAAAGCAGAAGCAAATGACTGCATAAAAATACATTTCAGAGGTATTCATAGTTTTGAAATCCACCATTTATGAATTCCCAAGAAGAAATCCTGCCAATAATATATTTGAAACTTAGGGAAATAGTGGGAAAAGTTTTTAATAAATGAAATTTTGGTGAGTTTCTGCTGTCCTGTGTATCCTACATGCTTAATTTTCTCATTTGAAGGTCATTCCTCATTAGAAAACAGATCCAGGAAAAATTATAGAAAATTAGCTATTTAAAAACATACATATATTTAAATAAATATATTGGCTTGGTATTCAAGATACAAAGGAAAATTCTACCCACATTCCAGACATATATTTTGCGGAAAAGTATACACAGAGATATCTACACTATTTATAGAAAAAAATGGCTGGAATAAATTCATTTACTATAAACTGGAGTTGTCTATGAAGATATTTTGCTCTCATTAGGAATAGAATAAAACAATTATACTAAGAAACTATAGGGGTTTTAATGTTATGAGTTTTGTTTGTCTCTATTTGCAACTTCACAAACATCATTAATATCTTAAAGAAACTCTAAAGAGATAATAGACTTTACTATTATATCACATATGAATCAATTTGTTGCTTCCCAAGTATACCTGTTACTTCATGATACACATTAAGTTCTCAACCTTATCATATGCTTGACCTGTAATACAGAATTCTCAAAAATTTTAAAATTCTTATAATATTATTTGTGGTACTATAGTTTTACATAAAAATGAACCATGCATGCATACCAGTGAAGGAAAATTAACATTTTGTGCCTATTTTATCTCACATCCCAAACTAAATGGTGGATGAGATTCTTTTTTGAAAAGAACATCTTTGAACATGACCATTTTCACTAAGTAATGTGAAAACAGATATTAAGTGCACATTATTGTTTTTTGATTGAAATGAAAGTCAATCAAGTGCTCCTGAAAATGGCTGACTGTCCCCAAGAATGGCACCTCCTCTTTGCCTGGAATGTGGACACTTCCTATTAAGAAACTTTTCTAAACTTCCAAATGTGGTCTTCATTACTTGAGCTTAATTAGAGGAGAGGTGTCATTATTCAGCTAGACTATAGAAATTTAAAAATGTGGCTTTTAATGTCAATAATTATTTAAGAACCATATTTAATAATAATCCTCGTAATTTTGAATTGTACCATGTCTGCTGTTCAATATTTATGCCATGCCTAGAGGTGCTTGTGGAATTTGTTATGGATGAGTCAAACAAGTAAGTCATTCATTCAAAAAAATTCATTGAACACATATTATATGCCAGGCACTGTGCAGAATATTTGAAATTCAGAGCTGTTGTTCTCAGGGATCATAAACCAAATGATACTTAACTGTTTTAGAGAACAGAAGTGCTTAGAGAAGATAAAATGATTAACTCTTCCTGAAGGGTTTGAGGAAAGACTTCATCAAGTATTGTTCAACCTGTGCTTTCAAGGATGAGTGGGAATTTTCAAGGGAAAAAGGAATTGGAGTAGGAGGGAATTCATACTGACTGGGCAGAGGGAATAGACTGTGAAATGCCTGGTGTCATGAAATGATTTGTCTCTGCTGGCTCAAGGGCATGTTTCCAAGGCTCAAGGGCATGAGGGTGGGATTGCTGGAAAGAAAATGAATCCTATTTTGTAAGGCCTCTTGTAGTCAAAGAATAGCCCATCTACAGACGTGGGCTACAAAGTTTACTCTTTTATAAATTTGGGCTTCAGTAAGATAGGCTCCCAAATAATTTTCAACGTGGTATTATTTTATAAGCTTATGCGTCTTAATACAACCCTTGCCTCCCAGTAATGAAACATAAGATCTCTCTGGCATTTGTGTGTGGGTGCAGGAAATGGAGGTGGGGGGAAAAGTAAATAGTGCTTTTTCTTTTTTCTTATTTTTTAATTATTTCTGGACTGTGATGAATATCTTTGGAAGGAAAGTCTCTCTCTCTGTGAAGCTACATTTATAGTGGGAGACAAGATGGCTGCTTATTTTACCAGCCAAAATGTCTCATATATATTGCTGTTGTGGTTTCTATTATGTGCTTTTGCTGTGGCAAAAAGAAAATTGTAGACAAACCAAACATTTTATGTTTGCTATAAGCTTTAAAGATAATTTTTAAAAATATAATAGCATATCTAAATTATTTCAGATGAGTAGTTATTTCTTCCAGGCAGTTATCGTTCATTCCTGAAATATTTGAAGGGTATACTTAAGATTTTTCATGAGAGCTTTAAAAATATTCAGTACTATCAAATATCTTTTGTGTTCAACTCAGATATGTTTCCAAGGTTACCATTTTGTAAAATAATTATGGCTATTTTTATTGAGGTTTGCTTGCTAGGTCCTAGATTAGAAACTTTATAGGCATTACAGCTAATTCTTCAGTGCTTTGTATGAGTCACAGACCTACTAATTGGAAGGGCCATGATGTGAACTCAGTTTATGGCTCTAAAATCTCCGTTCGTTTTGTCACGCCACATTGCTACGCTCTTCCACTGTTTATGACTTAAAAAACGAGGAGTGATAAAGCACAGTGAGCTTTTACCAAGGTGTAAGGCCTTCATGACCCTCAGCCTCCCAACCCAATGTATTAATACAAATGCGTAGTGCACAAGGTGGCAAAGAAGAGTATTTGATAATATTCGTTGAGCGAGTCAATAAATGTATGAATGAGTCAGAGAAGAGAAAGGGAATGATGCTGACAGCAATAGGAGAGCTCTGGTATTAAGTGGACCTAGCAAAAGTATGAGGGAACTACATGGTATCTCTTGGCTTCTCGAAAAGTATGCTTTACAAAGAACTCTGAACATCCATTCATTTTGTTTATAAGAATGTCAGACTCTTCTTTATTCACAAATATTTTGCTGATTGCCTGCTAAGCAATCTCTGTTCCAGTCATTTACAAAGATTTTTCCAGTGTTTCAATATTCTCCATGGTCCCTCAAAGAGCACTGGGCACATTAGTTTTTCTAAAGACAAATTCTTTAAGAGTCCTGCAAATGTTAAAGTGATTATTCATATGATACTATTTAAATGGTTTGTTTATAGTGGGCAACAGAAAATATGTTATCTCGTGTTTCTACTTAAATCCAATGAGGAAAACAGCTCTAAGTGTTTAAAAATAAGTAGCAATTTCCAATGTAGAAGTAAGATATTAGTAGCCCTTGAAATTATGCCTATTTTATTGAATAAATACGTGAATGAATGGGTAAATGAATGACAATTCCTGTGTAGCCTTTTAATTTCAAAAAATAAGTGCAAGCCCTCTAAATTTAGAAGGTTTTGATGAAATATTAAATATACTGATAACTAGTTCAAGAAGTGTCATAGAGTTGTTAATTTGGGTTCCTTAGATGCAAGCAAGTTCTGGTTTGGAAACTCATTTCTCCAAGTAAGTATGTTATAGTCTGTAGCTACCTTAATACCTGTTATTGATGAATATCTCTAAAAGACAAAGGATTTGTAAATATCAGCTCTTCAGAGAAGTTCATCTTAGGGGAAAAGTCTGACCCAGAATGATTCTATTTCACTGAGATTTTCAGTACGGCAACTGAAAAAGAAGATTTGAGAGAATTGTCTAACCTAGAAAATAAATATTTAGTCAAGTTTATTATTATGATTATTATAAACTACCTATTTTTTCTTTCATTGACTTGTGAAGTATCTCTATTTCATCAAAATGTTCTGTGCTTGTAAATGTAGGCTTTACTAAAATACTTTGGCTATATAACCAACTAGAATTTTTAGATGCTTAGTGTTTTTGCTATATAGCCAAAGCAGTTGAACCATATGAGCACATACAAATAGCCCAAACAGCTTGTATCTCTTTCTCCTGTCTTTGGTTCATACTTACTTACTTTAACGACATGAGCAAATTTAAAGTTCATTAATACAAACTGTGATTGGAAATCTGATCAGATATCATGCCTATTCTTAGTTTATCAGTGAAATGGCCAGTTCTGTTCCTGATTCATGGTCTTTAAAATAGGAGTCATGGCTTCCTGTGATTCTTCCTCTGCTTGTAACAAAAATCAAAATATGTACCTTTAACTCAGGTGCAGAACAGAATAGAGTCTTTCATTGTCATATTCCTAGAGCAAATGCTCCTCA